ATGTATACTGGTGATGTTCTGCACCTACCATGCAGGGAAGGCTGTATGTAGGCAGTTAACAAGTAAATGAACCCATAAATAATAAGTCTACAGTGACCAAATGTGAAAAGACAGAAAGTAACACAGTGCTGTGATAGAATATCAGGGATAATTCATTTAGAAGAGGTGATCAGGGAAGCCCTGGGCTGGTGGACTGACAGTTAAGATCTTAAGGATGAAAAGGATGTAACCATGTGAAAAGCAGAAGGAAAGAGCATTCCAGGTGAAGGGACTGGAATAGATGATTAAGGCTGCAGACCAGTGTGGGCAAGGTGAGGTTGGAGAATGGGGCAGGGTCATCCAGGGCCTTTTAAGCCAAAATAAGAAATTGATTTTGTCCAAAGGATAGTGGTTAGCCATTGCTGGAGTCTAAGCAGGGGAATAATGTCATCAGTGTTACTGCAGAAAGTCTCTTTATTCCCAAGCCAGAGAGCAGGAATGCTACCGTCAGACCCCCTGTACGGTCAATAAAGGTCGATGGCAATACACTTCTGAAGGTGTGCAAAGACACCAGCATCACTCCTCCTTTCCCCTTAGAGGGCTGGGGCTGCAGAGGGCAGGGCGGGAGCCCAGATGGCCGTGGCCACATAGGTTGCTGTTGGAGCTTGGGCCCCAGGAAAGGCCTCCAGAGATGATATCAAAGATGAGTCTGCAATGATGACTGATGTTGGCCAAGTAAACAAGGTAAGACAAAGGATTCTAGGCAAGAGCGAGTGAAATAGGCTCAACCATTCAGAGGTTGAGTCATGCGTGTTATGAAAATGAAAAGTAGTTCAGTGTGGTTAAAGTGTGGTGTGTGCAGGCGTGAGGAGGGAGGAGGAATGGAAGACGTGTGTGGTACAGTGAAAGTTAAAGATCTAGATAATGGAGAGCATCCTATGCCAGGCAAGAACATTTGTGCTTTCTCCGGAGGACAATGGGAAGAAGCCAGTGAAGGGTTTTAGGCAGAAGTAGGAGTTGTAATCAGAGTTGCATTATAAAAGAATCACTCAGGAAAGAGTGCAGAAAACCTAATTGGAGGAGTTAAGATTTCAAGCACGGAAGTAAATTCGGAGGCCAAACGCATTTGAAGGTGACAGGAATAAAACAGTAGCAGCTAAGCTGGAAAAAACTAGTTACAGGGATATTTAAAAGGAGTCGGCAGGTCTTGATAAAAGATTAAATTTGAGAACTCAGAGAAAGAGGTGAGTCAAAAATGATACACACTCTGACTCTGCCTCTCAAGTGGTTGGTTGCTTGGGCAACCGCTTAAATGAGATTGGCTTTGTTTAAACCAAGGAACAGCGAAGGAAGACCAAGTATATCAGAAAAGATAATGTGTCCTATTAGACATTTTTAGTTGAATTGCCTTTGAACATCCAAGAGGAGGCATTTAAGGAGTATTCGGATACTTGACCTGGAACTCACAAGAGAGACATGGGCAGGAGATGAAGCCATATATTTGGAAGTCCTCAGCTCTAGATGGTAACTGGAACGATAAGAAGAAGATGAGATTATCCAAGGGTAGATTAAGAGTAATAAAAGGGCCAAAGACAGATCTTTGGAAGATTTCACATATTTAAGGGACAAGCCAGTCAGAAAGGAGCTAGGAAAACCAAGACAGTATAATGTTTTGGAAACGAAAAAACAAATGAGGAAGAAGTAGCCAAGTGATGTAAAATGTAAAAAAAAATCCAAAATGAAACAAAACAAACAAACAAAAAGGTCCATTGTTCTTAACAAAGAGAAAGTAGTTCCTCATAGTGGGACCAGTTGCAGTAGAATAGGGGAGGCAGAATGCATGTTGCATTGAGTTAAGAAGTAAGGAACTGGAGAAAGACACTATAGACGCTAAGACTTACTCCTGGGAAGGGCACAAATGTCTTTTGTTATACCATGGGTTCTGATTTTTTTTGTTTGAGAGTATGGTCACCATACTTCTGGGCAGCCTATGAATCCAAAGAATTCAATGATTTATGGGGAAGGAGAGGAGAGATTCCAAAGATGTTGTCTGCATTTAAGATTATAAGTAATAAACTCTGAAAACAATCTTCATTGACTCTTGGATTTTTTTTTAAATCTAGAAAGTGAGTTTCTTGTGATGGCAAAGAAGGGGGAACTATTTATGAATAACCTAGCACTTTATAGTGCTCAGGGCTCTATGTTTAATCTTCGTAGCCACCTATAAGGTAGAGAGTATCTTCCCCGGTTGCAAAAAAGTAAATGGGCTCAGAGCAGTTTCGTGTACCTGATCACCCAGCTGGTACCTGGTGAGTCACTTTATGATTGTTGAAACTGTATTTTCTTCAACTTACCCATTGGAACTTGGACAGTAAGTATTTCTCCCTGTGAGACAGGATATATTAGCCTGGGGCTCACGAGAGAGAGGGAGAGTGATCCACCTGGGATCGTAGTTAATATGTGATTCCCTAGCTGGAAGAGGCCAGGCTGCCATCTGAGAAGGAATTGATAAAACATGCAAAATGGAACAAAGTCAGAACCAAAAAAAGCATCATGCAAGGTTAAAATTATGTGAATAATGATGTGCATTAGTTATTTTAATGTCTTCCAAGTGCATTTCATTTTGAATGATATACTCAGATAACACACAGTAAGGTATAATTGAAAAAACATGTAGGAGAATGGCTGAATTCAAAGAATAAACATACAGCTGCGAGGAGGTTAGGAGTCAAAGGGATAAGCACATGCCCCATCCCCCAGAGATCTCATTAGTGCAAGAGTGACCATATATGTAGAGGCTAAATGAATCTCACTGTTTGCAAAGACCCACAGTAAATGAGACAATGACAAATCAATAGTAATTAGGACTATAGGTTCTTATTGACCCAGATGTCTGAAACCAAATGCCCTGCTCTGAGATTCCTTGAGAGGCAGAATGAAAAAGATTTATAGATGTGTGCTTCTTTAAAAAAAAAAAATCTCTTTAAGAGCAGTGATGCTATTCTAAAGTGGAAAGTTGCTAGAATTAGTGCAGACTCTTGACTTCTAGCTAGAAAGGATGTTCTACAGACTTGTGTTGTGAATGTGATTCTTGTTGGACGAGGAGCAGAGAGAGCTGGGAGATAGAAAACCAGGGTGTGATCCTATGCTACCCCAATATGTTGTTCTGGCCCAACCTCCCAAGGAGGGAGGCCTGGGAGGACCCTTTCCTAAAACTGTAGTAGAGTCAGTCTAAAACAGTTTGAGGGGGGGGGGGGCTTTGATGAAAAATTTCTGACCTGAGATACAGACAGCACATGGCTTCAGAATCACTCAGAGAAGGGTTTAAATATGGACTCGATCCTGTCACTTCACCTCTCGGGGCATCTTCTGTAAAAGGGTGCTGGCGACACCCCTTCACCATGCAGTGGTGGAAAGCCTGGTGTGTACCAGGGAATGGCAGCTGGTCTTGCAGTATTTGCTCAGTCTTTTCCCAGTAATATTTATTCCTCCTAATATGATCTAAGGCAGAAGATTTTTTTACAGATGGGAATGGGGTGTTACAGTGAGAAGCAATGAGACTGCTAGCAGGTAGAGCTGCCCTCACCTCCAAGCCAGCACACATCTCTCACACACAAATACACACTCTCACACTACGCACTCTCTCCTACTCACACAGAGCAGTTTCGCTTTTCTATGTTTTTTATATTGAATTTCCATATAAAATTTTTGTTTAATAGAAGAGTTCCACTGGTAAGAGGGAACAAAGAGAGTTTAAAAACCACAGCTCTACTTGTTTGTTTGTTCCTTTACATTTGGTTTAGAGAACTTTCAACAACTTAACAAAATCCGTGGGGACACTCGTGGTATCACAAACTAGAACCTGAAATCACTGAGCCTTACTTCTGAAACATTTTTAAAATGCAAAACATAAATAATGTCTTAGGTATCTTAGATGTTAACCTCCTTTGGACATTGATTTCCTATACTTTTTTTCCTGCCATTATTCAAGCTGTGTTTTTAACCTTTAAAGAGAGTTCCAAGGGCCCCAGTGGGAAGTAGCACAGATGCCAACCTCTGAAATACACACTCTCTTTTGGCATCATTGGTTCAAAACTTGGAGACAGCTAACCAGGTTTACTCTTTGTGCCATGCAGTAAGATTTAACCCAGTGAGGTAGGTACTTTTAAATCTATTTTATGAATGGGAAAATTGGGGTTCAGTGTGGCAAAGGCACTGGCCCAAGTTACCCAGCTAGATCAGGCAGAACCAAGATCTGAATGCCACTGTGTTCTCAAGCCCATCATTCTCTCTCTGTCTCCTTACCTGAACATGTGAAGAATGAGGGAGCTGGTCTGACACCCTCCATTCTACACATGAAGAATCTGAGGGTTAAAAGGGAGAAAAAAACGTACACATTGTCCTTTGGTGAGTTTGGGATAGAAATCAAATCTCTGATTCCTGATCATAACTGCATTCATAGCATTCATTCACTTCCCTTAGCAAACTCCTATCCTGAATCTGGGATCTTATATTTGTCTATATTTGCCATCTCATCCTTATAATTGGGAATCTGATTTTAATAAAAATTTTATGTATGTACAGTATTGTACAGTTTACAAAATGCTAGATCTTCATGTACTTAATCTACTTTGATCTTCACAATAACCCTGTGAGGTAAGTTAGACAGAGATCATGATACATGTTTTTTACAGATGGGAAGAGGGTGGTTTAGACTGAATAACTGTCTCACGGTTATACACCTACTAGGAGTAAAGCGATTCCTGGGTCCAGTCTTCTGACTCCAAACCTTTTCCCTTTCCACTAGGACATGGCCCTTTCTTGGTGACAGTACAACTTGACGTGAGAGTACAGTAAACTAGTTTCTCTGGATGTGGGGTAGTTCTTTTGCCGAAGCTTTTGAGACCCTGCTTACTTTCCTGGGCATGTTACAGAAGTAAAAATGGTTTCTTTCTACAGAACAATTTTCTCCCCAACCCTACCCCCTTTTAAAAATAAAATAAAATCCACTTCTCTTCCAGATGCCAGAGTGTATATGCATATTTGAACAGTCACCTGGATCTGATTAAGAAGGCCCAGCCTGTGGGTTTCCTCACTGTTGATTTACATGTTTGGCCAGATTTCCATGGCAACCGGTCTCCCTTAGCAGATCTGACACTAAAGGGCATGGTAAGTAATAGCCAGTCCTTGCACGTAGATGAAGGCAGGCCAAAGGGCCACAAAGTCTGGAAGAAGCAAAGGGAGGAGAGAGGAAAAAAAGAAACAGGCCACCAGTCCACTGGCCTTTTGCGGTTGTGTTGCTGTTGTGAAGGCCTTTGCTGCTCCCCATGATGACCTGCTGAAAGTTTTCATTGTTTCGGAGCCAACCTTGAGAGCGTTGAAAGCGGTGTTTCCTATGTTCAGCTACTGCTGCCTCTTTGTCCCATGGAGGGGCGGGACATCGTGCCTACTATGTAATTTTGGTAGTTACGTCGGTTCATAAAGTCATGCTTTCCAACTGCATCTTCAGGTTGCCCAGTAAATCAGTGGTAAATATTACCCCCCATTGTCTTGCTGGCCACAGCTGCACATCTGCCTAGGCTCTGAGTCAGGGTTATTCAAGGTCTATGCTAATATATTTAGGATTTCAGGTTAAACTTTGGTAAAAGCAAATATAATTTATAAATTATGTTGGAGGACAAATTGCACTTTTGGTGACCTTTAGGGTCACTTCCACTATGGAGATTCTGAGCCCCTGCTGGAGTGGCCAGGATGAACTAGATGGGGAAGCTCACAGCCACCTAAGCTGAGATAGGGCACCTTGGTGACCAGATGAGATTGGGTGGCTGGGAGCAGTATGGCCATCAAGAATCACACTTGAGGATGGATGAAGCAGGTTAAAACAAGAGAAAGATCCAGAGAAGGGCCCAGGTAACACCACAGATAAGAAAATAAGCCGCAAATGCAGACTCCAGGAAGATGTCAAGAAGCTAAAAAAAGTAGAGTATTCAGTAAATTAAGGCGGGGAGTTCAGACCAGAGGCTGTGAGCAATGTAAGGTGTATGCACAGGTGGCTGCGTGACAGTGGAGCAGGCTTGCTAGCTTCAAGAACTTCAAGACTCAAAAGGCTACCATTTTGTGGTTAATTTTATGGAGATTATTTTAAATACTTTTATGATGGCAACAGGAAGACCTGAACTTGATATTCATTACCTAGTTGGCATAATAAACTTCTGCGATTAATAATAAAAGGGAGTCATGGCAAAAAGAAATGAAATTATATGTAACAAAAGTTGTGTTTGTCCATGAAGTGTGCCTACAAAACAAATAGTGAACTTGGCCTCCTTATTTGGCCTGTGGAGGCAGAAGAGTAATGTCCAGAGTGGGCCATGTGGCAACAGGCTAGAGAGCCACACTTTTTGATAACTAACTCTCTGCAAACACAAGGTAAGGGAAGAACATATTTTATGTGGGCACAAAAATGAATGTGTTAATTAGAGACAAAGATCTGAAGCCAAATACAGTTAGACACTTAAAATGTTAAAGAAGTTAAGAAGCTTGATCAGTCTGTCCTTGAAATGAAGTCAAAACAAAGCAGAGTTACATGGTAAAATGGTCATGGCTCTGGAGTCACATAGATCTGGGGGCCTTCCCTTGCCAACTTCTGCCACACCCAGCTTCAGTACCTAGCATGTCAGCCTCCATGTCTCCCAGTGGCTTTTGTCTGTTTCTTAAAACCAATCCTGGCATCCAGAGACCTAAGTAATACCATCATAAGGATATTCTTAGTATCCTTAATAAAGTTGACCCAAATGCAGAATGTAATTCCCCAAGGAATCAATCGAGTGTTCTGAGGAATGCCCATCTCATGACAATAAGTATGTACTTTACCAAGAGACTTCTTACATGGGGATATGTGCCCAATTGTATCTAAAAATTCTGTTATTAATATATTTACTTTTTTAAAAAAGTTTTGCTTTATTAATATACCTCATATATCACTTGATACTTCTTAGCAGTGATTTCCCTTTATAACTGTCCTTGAGTTAGGGTCACATTGAAGAGCTATCCCTCCATGAGTTTGCACCACAACAATGGAAGGAGAAGGTGACCTAAATAAGATAGAAGGAAGGCAATTCTAGGCTAAAAACTTTGGCTGAAATCTCTTCCCTTCAGTTTAATTTCTGATAACATTAAAATAATCACCCTGAAATTCTTCTGTTATCATGTTGTATCCTTTTGCCAGAGCCTACGATGACTCTTACCTCCAACACTCATTCAGTAAATATCAGTTTGGTACCTGTTGTGTGCCAAGCATGGCTGCAGATGCAATAAGGTACAACGATTTCTGCACTTACGGAGCATGTTTAAAGTGGTAGGGGAAATGCTTGATAAAATGTTAATAGCAACTAGAATTGTCAGGATAATCCCAACAGGGCAAGATCCATGTACAATTTCTCTTTTGGGTAGCTAAAATATTTCCCTGGGTGTATCATAAGAGCTAAATATGTACTTAACTGATAATTTATAGGCAACATGAAGATAATAAAGAGGTAATTTATTACTTTAGAAAAAATAAACTTATGAACAACACACTAATACCAAATGGAATAGATGGCTAATGACTCTTACTATCCATATGGTAAGTATTCAATATCAACATTAATGTACAAGTAAACTATGTTGATAAGCTCTCATAGTATCATAATTATGGGTACCTTTGTTCATCAAACAAATACAGGCCGTGTTAGTGGGGGGTATAACAGTAGGCACAACCTGTCTACAGAAATATCGCTGTCTCTCTTGGGCAGACTGAATATATAAACAGGCAGTGGAAAGATGGGATCAAGCTCCAAATGTCACTCACTGTCCAGGGCTCTCTGGATGCATGGAAGATGATTGCCCAACCTGGTCTCAGCGGTCAGGAGAGGCTGAGACAGGAGGTGACTTGAACACAGAGTGAGAGAGGGAAGAGGGCTGGGGCCAAAGGAATCATAGTATATGCAGTGCTTGGAGCGGAGAGAAGGCATGGCATATGAATGTCTATGACTTTGGCTCCTCGTGTTGTTGTCTAACCAATGATAGACTGCCTTTAGTGTTTTATTTGGCAACAAAAAAAAAAAGAAAATGTTTTCTCAGAGAACCACCGTATATACTCTCTACTCCCTCTGCTCCAGTGCCGTTGCACTCTCCCTGTTTTCCACTCCCCCCTCAGCTGACTCTTCCCTCTCCTTAGTCAAACATTCATCCATTCAGTATGCTTTTATTGAGCACCTGCTGTGTGCAGGCCTATGTTAAGCCAGGGAATACAAAGAAAAAGCAAAGAAAAGGGCCTGTCCTGAGTTTACATAAAAGTAGGGGAGATAATTATTGCACATGTATGAAAGAGAGAGGGAGAGAGAGTGTGTCTATATTATATAATCATTTTACAGTGTGCCCCCTGTAATAATCTATGCAAGCTGAAGGTGATACTCAGTAAATGTCTGGAATTTTTTTATGTGGCATTTGGTTAGCAAACCCTGATGCAGCCTTTCTCTACTTCACTCAAAAACATGAAAATGTAAAAAAGACATGAACTCATGCTAGCTTTGGAAATTAGGATGACACTCAACTAGGAAAACTAGGATTGACATTCCCATAGAGGATCTGAGAAGGTTTTCCAGAATCTAAAAGACTAACTTGTTTGATAAACATAATATGTGACACAAGGACAAAGTCCAGCCTTGAAAGAGTTTGTACCTCCTCACCGTCTGCTCCCTACCTAAAAACACAGGTTCTTTTAAGCCTAAAACCAGGGCAGCTATCCCTCTACTCTACTGCCCATGGTTGAGGGGTTTTTGTTTTGTTTTGTCTTTTGGAAGCAGCCAGTGAGTTTAATTACCTAGACCTCCCACCTTACACACATGACCGTCCCTGTCTTCTCTTTCAGTTCAATTCATTTGAAAACTGCTAACTCAAGAAGCCTCCTGGGCAGGAAGTATGAGTTAAGACAAACAGTGATACCTTACTTTCTAAGCATCCTAAGTACAATTCTGTTAATGGAAAAGAGGTAGGAAAAACCTTGGTAGCTCTGTGAATTTGGAGGAAGGGTGTAGTTTTGCTGTTCTAGTGCTAGAAAGTAAGGCAGTGGTGATCTACCTCAGTCCAACAAAGCTACACAAAATTAAAACTGCTACACTCTAATAATTGGCATCCAGCTGTAGATCTGAAGTACAAATCCAAGTATGCAGTGAGTGAGGCTAAGAGAAAGTGATGTGTACTGTATTTTGGGAAATACTGAATATGCATAGCTTTCCAGTTAAGAGTAAATTTTTAAAAATAACAAAGTGAGTCCTGTTGGAAAAACATTGCATTCAAAGAAAAAGAAAGACCATTTGTAACACTTAGGGAAAAACCTCTTAAAAATTATTTACTTCTGAAACCAAAAGAAAATATTATGGATCTACTTGACATATTCAATAGGATTTCTTTAAAAAACATATCTCTACGAAATAGGGCTTTCTCTATGGAATTAGGAAAGAATGAATTAAAGTGAAAGGAAAATGGAATGAGAAAAAAGGGAAATGATGACAACTAAAGATGCAATAACAATTAAAACCTATATTGAAAGTAATAAGGAATATAATAAATTCACTGAAGAAAATAAGATCAGGGCGGTCATAAAACTTAGCTTATATTTTAAATTTACTCTATTAGAAAAACATTTTGAAGATAGAGGATATAGTTGATTTACTTTTTTAATCTCAACAGTGCTTAGTCAGAGACTGGCACTAACTAATTGCCTTATGATCAAGCAATTATTTCAATCATTGTTTGCCAGTTGAGGAACAAACAGTGATATGCCTGAGGTCACAGTGCCAAGAAGTGGCAGAGATTGACCTTCAGCCTGCACAGCCCATGAGGCTGCCTTAACTTGTAACTTTGGAATTCACAAAATGCAGTGAATAGCATTAGAATATCACATCCCCTCAGATACATGATACATGGCTTAATGCTAAACCATTGTCCTTAGGCTAGTTCCTGTTTTTCTGACCACCAACCTTGTCACTCATGTCCCATTTTTACCCTGACCTTGGTCTTTGTATGTAAACTTTGACCCTGACTCTTCTCCTTAAGGTTCTAATTTCTTTCCCACGCTCACTGACTCAGATTTCAAAAGTAATAGCCACCCCTGGTTTCACCTAGTTCTA